TTTCCCATTTTTTGTTGATTTTCCCCCCTGTTCTACTGAACTTTTCCCATTTTTTATTGAACTTTTCCCATTTTTTGTTGATTTTCCCCCCTATTTTACTGAACTTTTCCCATTTTTTGTTGATTTTCCCCCATATTTTACTGAACTTTTCCCATTTTTTGTTGATTCCCCCCCTATTTTACTGAACTTTTCCCATTTTTTCCCCTTTTTCCCCCAGTTTTGTGCCCGGAAGTTGCAGCAGGCCCTGGAGGAATCCGAAGGCTTCGACCCCGAGGTTTTCGCTGCCAACGGTTGGGATTGGAGCCCCCAAAATCCCCAAAATTTGGGATTTTCCCCTCCAAATCCCAAATTCCCAACCCCCCAAATGGGCGGAGACCCCAAAAATTTGGGATTTTTGGGGAAAAAGCAGCAGAATTAATTAAGAATTAATTAAGAATTAATTTATAATTAATCCTGGGGGGGTTAAAAAGGGTCCTGGGTTTTCCTGATTGCTCAAAAAATCAGGAATTTTATTAAAAAAAAAGACAGGAACGTGAATTAAATTAATAGTTCTTTAATAAATTAATTGTTAATTCATGAAAAGTTAATTAGCAATTAACCAACAATCAGTAATTGATTGGGACCAGAACTGCGTGGAGCCGAGCCCGGGGTCAGGATTTGGGGCAAAAACCCCAAAATTGGGGATTTCCAGGCCAAAAATTGGGGATTTCCAGCCTGGGAGGGAAAAAAATCCATGGAAATGCAAAAAAATCCCAAAAAAATCCACGGAAATGTGAAAAAAATCCATGGAAATCCCAAAAAAATCCATAAAAATCCCCCCAAAAAATCCACGGAAATCCAAAAAAAAAATCCAGGGAAATTAAAAAAAAAAAAAAATCTAACAAAAATCCATGAAAATCCCCAAAAGAGCCCGGGGTCAGGATTTGGGGCAAAAACCCCAAAATTGGGGATTTCCAGGCCAAAAATTGGGGATTTCCAGCCTGGGAGGGAAAAAAATCCATGGAAATGCAAAAAAATCCCAAAAAAATCCACGGAAATGTGAAAAAAATCCATGGAAATCCCAAAAAAATCCATGGAAACCCAAAAAAAATCCCCAAAAAAATCCATGGAATTCCAAAAAAAAAATCCCCAAAAAATCCAGGGAATTCCAAAAAATCCCCAAAAAAATCTACAAAAATCCCCAAAAAATCCATGGAAATCTCAAAAAAAAAAAAAAATCCACAGAAATCCCAAAAAATCCCCCCAAAAAATCCATGGAAATCCCCCAAAAAATCCATAAAAATCCCAAAAAAATCCATGGAAATCCCCCCAAAAAGTCAATGGAAATCACAAAATATCCCAAAAAAATCCATAGAAACCCCAAAAAAAAATCCATGGAAATCCCAAAAAGACCCAAAAAAATCCATGGAAATCCAAAAAAATTCCCCAAAAAATCCACGGAAATCTGAAAAAAATCCATGGAAATCTGAAAAAATCCCCAAAAAATCCATGGAAATCCAAAAAATAATAATAAAAAAAAAAATCCACGGAAATGCCAAAAAAGTCCATAAAAATCCATAAAAACCCCCAAAAAATCCATGGAAATCCCAAAAAATCCATGGAAATCCCCCCCCCCCCCAAAAATCCCCCCAAAAAATCCATGGAAATCCCCCAAAAAATCCATAAAAATCCCAAAAAAATCCATGGAAATCCCCCCAAAAAGTCAATGGAAATCACAAAATATCCCAAAAAAATCCATAGAAACCCCAAAAAAAAATCCATGGAAATCCCAAAAAGTCCCAAAAAAATCCATGGAAATCCAAAAAAATTCCCCAAAAAATCCACGGAAATCTGAAAAAAATCCATGGAAATCTGAAAAAATCCCCAAAAAATCCATGGAAATCCAAAAAATAATAATAAAAAAAAAAATCCACGGAAATGCCAAAAAAGTCCATAAAAATCCATAAAAACCCCCAAAAAATCCATGGAAATCCCAAAAAATCCATGGAAATCCCCCCCCCCCCAAAAAAAAAAAAATGGAAAACCCCAAAAAAGCAAAAAAAATACCAAAAAAAACCAACCCCCCCCCCCCAAAAAAAAAATCCATGGAAATCCCCAAAAAAGCAATAAAAATCCCAAAAAAATCCATGGAAATCCCAAGAAATCAAAAAAAAAAAAAGTCAATGGAAATCTCAATCCATGGAAATCAAAAAAAAAAATCCGAAAAAAATCCATGGAAATCCCAAAAAAATCCCCAAAAAATCCATGGAAATCTGAAAAAAAATCCAAATTTTGGGGAATTTTCACTGGATTAGCCCTAAAATTCGTGAATTTTTGAGAATTGTCTCTGGATTTGCCCCAAAATTTGGGAATTTTGGGGAATTCTCAGGATTTACCTTTAAGTTTGGGATTTTTTTGGGAATTCTCTCTGGATTTGCACACAAATTTGGGGATTTTTGGAAATTTTCTCTGCATCTGCCCCAAAATTTGGGAAGTTTTGGGAATTCTCTTTGGATTTCCCCCGAAATTTGAGAATTTTTTGGAATTTTGTCTGGATTTGCCCTGAATTTTGGGGAATTTTCTCTTCATTTGCCCAAAATTTGGGATTTTTTGGGACTTGTCTCTGGATCTGCCCCAAAATTTGGGAATTTTGGGGAATTTTCTCTGGATTTACCCCAAAATTTGGGAATTTTTGGGAATTGTCTCTGGATCTGCCCCAAAATTTGGGAATTTTTTCTGGATTTACCCCAAAATTTAGGAATTTTTGGGAATTCCCTCTGGATTTGCACCAAAATTGGGGAATGTTTGGGAATTGTCTCTGGATTTACCCTGAAATTGGGGAATTTTTGGGAATTGTCTCTGGATTTACCTGGAATTTTTGGGAATTCTCTCTGGATTTCCCCTGAACTTGGGGAATGTTTGGGAATTCTCTCTGGATTTACCCCGAATTTTTGGGAATTCTCTCTGGATTTCCCCTGAAATTTGGGAATGTTTGGGAATTCTCTCTGGATTTGCCCTGAACTTGGGGAATGTTTGGGAATTCTCTCTGGATTTCCCCTGAATTTTGGGAATGTTTGGGAATTCTCTCTGGATTTCCCCTGAAATTGGGGAATGTTTGGGAATTCTCTCTGGATTTCCCCTGAAATTTGGGAATTTTTGGCAATTCCGGCTCCTCCCCGCAGGGATTCCCTGGATCCGGCCCTGCAGGAATCCGTGGCTCAGCTGAAGCTGCTCATGGCCAGGTGGGGACACCTGGGGGCACCTTGGGGACATTGGGGACACCCTGGGGACATTGGGGACATTGGGGACACCTTGGGGACAGCTGGGGGACACCTTGGGGACATTGGGGACACCTTGGGGACACCTTGGGGACGCCTTGGGGACATTGGGGACACCTGGAGTGGGGAGGGGACACTGGGGACACCTGGGACAAACTTGGGGACACCTGGTGGGACTTGGGAACACACCTGGGGACACCTGGGGGACACCTGGTGCAAACTTGGGGACACTTGGTGAGACTTGGGGACACCTGGGACACACCTGGAATGGGGAGGGGACACCTGGGGATGTCTGGGACACACCTGGGGGCCCTTGGGGACACACCTGGAATGGGGAGGGGATGCTGTGGGACACACCTGGACACACCTGGGGACACACCTGGAATGGGGAGAGGACACCTGGGGACACCTGGGACACACCTGGGGCCCTTGGGGACACACCTGGAATGGGGAGGGGACACCTGGGGACGTCTGGGACACACCTGGGGACACACCCTGGGGGGACCTTGGGACACCTTGGGGACACCTGGGGACATTTGGGACACACCTGGGGGGCCTGGGGACACACCTGGAATGGGGAGGGGACACCTGGGGACGTCTGGGACACACCTGGGGACACACCCTGGGGGGACCTTGGGACACCTTGGGGACACCTGGGGACATTTGGGACACACCTGGGGGGCCTGGGGACACACCTGGAATGGGGAGGGGATGCTGTGGGACACACCTGGACACACCTGGGGACACACCTGGAATGGGGAGAGGACACCTGGGGACACGTGGGACACACCTGGGGGGCCTTGGGGACACACCTGGAATGGGGAGGGGACACGTGGACACACCTGGACACACCTGGGGCCCTTGGGGACACACCTGGAACGGGGAGGGGACACCTGGGGACACGTGGGACACACCTGGGGACACACCTGGGGCCCTTGGGGACACGCGTGTCCCCTGGTGTCCCCTGTCCCGCAGGTTCCAGGGGGAGCTGCAGGCCTGGCAGGGGCTCCTGCAGCAGCCCCTGCAGCGCTCCCAGGAGGCCGCCAGGTGAGAATTCCCCCCTGAGCCCCGAATTGCCACTTGGATCCCCAAAATTCCCACTTGGATCCCCAAAATTCCCACTTGGATCCCCAAAATTCCCACTTGGATCCCCAAAATTCCCACTTGGATCCCCAAAATTCCCACTTTTATTCCCAAAATTCCCCTTTTATCCCTAAATTCCCACATTTGATCCCCAAAATTCCCCCATTTTATCCCCAAATTCCCTTTTTTATTCCCTAAATTCCCAAATTTATCCCAAAATTCCCGCTTTGAATCCCAAAATTCCCCTTTTTATCCCCAAAATTCCCACATTTTATCCCCAAATTCCCCCATTTTATCCCCAAATTCCCACATTTATCCCCAAAATTCCCACATTTTATCCCCAAATTTCCCCCCCAAATCCCTAAATTTTCCCCCAAATTCCCAAATTTCTCCCCAAAATCCCCATTTTTTTAATAAAATCCCTAAATTTCCCCCCCAAATTTTCCCCCAAATTCCCTTTTCCGCCCCCAAACCCCCATTTTTCCCAAAACCCTGGCCCCCTCCCCCCCTCCCCAAATCCCAAATTTTGGACTCCAAACCCGACTACGGCGCCGTCCTGGCCCAGCAGGGCCCCGTCCTCGACTCCCTGCGGCTCCTGGTGAGGCTTTTTGGGGCGAAAAACCCCAGATTTGGGCAAACCCCCTCAGTTTTATTAAATTCTATCAATTTTCCCTTTTCTCGTTGGAATTTTGGGGATTTCCAGGTGGATGAGGCCCAGGAGGCCGGGAAGATGGTGCTGCAATTCCAGGAGCAGAGCAGCCGCTCCCTCAGGGACCTCTCGGAGAAGCTGGGTGAGCGAAACCGCCAAAAATCGCCCAAAATTGCCCAAAATCCTGCGAATTTTGGCGGGAATTTGGGGGTTTTTTCTGGTTTTTTGCAGCTTCCAGAGCGTTCCGGCGGCTGCCGGGATCCCCCGCGCGGCGGCTGCTGCAGAAGATGCCCCGGAAGGCGCCGCCGGCGGAGGGGGAGGGAGAATAAACCGGGAAAATCCCGAAATCTCTCGGTTTTGCCCCAAAATATTCCCGGGTTTTGGTCTTTAAAGCGGCGCTTCCGGGTTTGGTGGTGCGCGGTGGTGATTGGTTTGTGTGGGTGTCAATCAGAGGGCTCAGCCAATCACGGGGCGGAGGGGGTGAGACCATTAAGCGCGGTGGTGTTTATTTTCCGTGTTTGGGCTGTGCTTTGCTCTGATTCGCCCGCTTGTGTGTCAATCACAGTGGTCAGCCAATAGAAGCACGCTTCTGGCTTCTCTGCTCTTATTGGTCTGCTTTCCTGTCATTCAAACACCTGAGCCAATCAGAGCGCTGAGGGGGCGGGGCATTCCCATTTGAGCGCCGGCACTTCCGCCTTTCATCAATTCTCGCTTCCAATTGGCCCGCCTGTGTGTCAATCAGCGAAATCAACCAATCGCAGCGCGCCCGGGGTGCGGGGCGGGAACTGTGGGGGCGGCGATGGGGACAGCGCTCCGTGTGTCACCCCAGTGTCCCCAAATGTCACCCCAGTGTCCCCAAATGTCCTGATGTCCCCAGCCCTGTCCCCAACCTCTCCTGATGTCCCCAAGGATGTCCCCAAC